CCATCTCATTGGATCCTGGAGCAATTCGTGACAGGTACCGCTAAACTCTGCCATACTTTACTATGCGTACTACGCCATATGCTATACCATGCAATGCTTCACTATACTAGACTATACCGTAACTACTCTGCTACCCTACGCCATGCTATACAGTGCCATACTCCCTAAACCCTAAACTCTTACACCCTAAACCCTAAACCCCTAAACCCCTAAACCCGAAACCCTAAACCCCTAAACCCTAAACCCCTAAACCCTAGACCCTAAACCCCTAAACCCCTCAACCCCCAAGACCCGAAACCCTAAACCCCTAAAACTCTGCATCCGTCCTGCAGGACCTGTCCTCCACGATCCAAGAGCGCGAGGAAGGCCGGGTACCAACCTCTGGGCTTCGCGTAGCGCAGACTTTAAGAGAGCAGAAAGGGGTTTAGAAGTTTAGGGTGTGGGGTTTAGGGTTTAGAAGTTTAGGGTTGTAGGGTTTGAAGGTTTAGGGTTTTAGGGTTTAGGGTTTGGGGTAGGGTTTAGGGCTGGAGGGTTTTAGGGTTTAGGGTACGTTTAGGGTTTAGGGTTTAGGGTGTAGAGTTTCGATGAGCGTGCACGTAAGGATTCCTTTATGCGGGTTTCTTATCCAGCTTACCAGTAAACCCTAAACCCTAAACCCTAAACTGTTTCGTAGTGTATGTTTTTTAGGGTGCCCAGAGGAACAAGGATTCTACTGCACTCATCACCCAGAGAACCCAATACCCCCCTTAATCAAGGAGTATACCTTAAAATCATGGGGGACTTAATATTATGCTTTAAAGTATATAGTCTCTAATTGAGAGGTATTGGGTTCTCTGACTAGGCCTTGTGAGAGATCCTACTTTTTCGGGTAAATGTCGAAGCTGGGGTGGATACGTCACCGAAGTGCTGCTGAGAGCATGAAGGAGATCCATCTTGTGTCGGGGTGCAAGGTGGATCTTTCCGAATATATTGGGGGTACCTTATTTTGGGGTCCTTATAATAGGGTTTATAGGGTTCAGGGTTTAGGGGTTTAGAATTTAGGCTTTAGAATATTGGGGGTACCTTTTTGGGGGGCCCTTTATAACAAGGATCCTACTATTTAAGGTACTATACTAGGGTCCCCTATTTTCAGAAACCACCTGGGGGGTTTCTGAAAATAGGGGCCCTCGTCCCCGGTGTAGTACAGCGCAGTATAGTATGTTTTAGGGCTTAGGGTTTAGGGTTTTAGGGTTTAGGGTAAACCCTAAACCCTAAACCCTAGTATAGTAAAGCAAGGATAGCATGGGGGTAGTATACTATTGTGTTAGTATGTTATGGAGTGGCATGGAACAGAGTAGTAAAGCGTAGCATAGTATGGCATGGTAGATTATATTAATAGTAGATGATCATATCTAAAGACCTATTGGTCACACTTCGGATGGTGTTGAGATGCTCAGGCAGACCTTCCCAGCCATGGCTGGTCCTGCCTAGGAGTTTTGGCTTGTTTTTTTTGGGGGGCTTACGGTTGAGCCCGAAGGTGCAAGCGAATCGAAGTCTCAAAGACAGAGCCCTAGAGCATCGAAAGACTCAAGCCCATGTCCTGGCATTCCAAACCACCCGCCCAAGAAGCTCACCCAAACCCATAAAGCTGCATGGAAGCCTGATCTTTGTTAACAGGCTTCTCGGCCTGGCTGCAGACTTTCCTACCCTCCCAGGCGACCAGTTCTCTGGGGCTTCCGGGTCTTCATATTGCAGAGTCTCAAGATGTGTAGAAGTTTAGGATTTAGGTTTTAGGGTTTAGGGGTTTAGGGGTTGAGGGTTTAGGGTTTTAGGAAGATGTGTAGGATGAGGGGCTGTTGCGCTTTGGGAGGTCTGTGGGCGTCTTCTGTGAGTCTTCTTCTGCCTGTGTAGGCTTAGAGTCCTTTGCTGATCGGCTTCGAATCTGCAGCACGCGGTAAGCGGACTCTCTTGTGGTGAAAGTGCCCAGAGACTCCAATATTCCCTAATTAAGGAACATACTTTAAATTACAATAGGAGCCCGAAAAAAATAAGGTATATTCCTGAATTATGGAATATTGGAGTCTCTGGGTGTGCTCCAGAGCTTCGCGATGGCTCAGGCCGTGTTGACTGAGGGGCTGCCGTGAGACCCGAGCTGGCGCTACTTTCGGCTGTTGGGCCGCTGCGCATGACCAAGTCTTCATAGCCTCTTTGTCCATGGGTAGTTCTCTAAATTCGGCTTCCTTAAAGGTACTAGAGGGGTAGTTCTCTAAATTAGGGTCCCTTTTGGGGTCCTGTTTATAAGGGTGCCGTACTATATTGGGGACCCAGAAAGGGACCCTAATTTAGAGAACCACCCCCATGAAAACAGAACTCGTCCCTTGTCGAAGCGAACGAGCCCGAACAAAAAGCAGCCGTAAGCCCAAAAGCCCAAGTCCGAAGCTTGGAGCAGGCCACGCCCTACAGCATCGGGGAGCTGCAGGGCACGCTGCAAGCCACGTCCGCTTCGACTTGCTTCCTTTCACAGAGGTGGTGTTCAATGAGGGAAGCTTCAGGGCTACTAAGATAGTAGGAACTGCGCTGCTTCTCGTGGAGAGGGTTGGGTAGGATACCAGATATACCGATGTCTTTGCCTCTGCTTCTTATTTTTGCGCAACGGCCAGGGCCCACGGCCTCTTCCCGCTTCTGATGGCACGGAGCCGAGCGGGAAGTAGACGAAGTCGACGAGAGGGGAACCCCAATGCAAACAGCAGAGCCTTGTCTCAGGCAATCCAACTACCCATAGGCTCCTAAGTAGTTCCTTTTTATGGTTCATACTTAGAACCCTACAAGGTAATCCCGAAAAGAAACTACTAGGGAGCCTATGGGTAGAGCCGTTGATCCTGGTTGAAGTGCATGCGGGCATACTTGCTCTGCGCTTTCTCCGACAGGCCCCCACAAAAAGATGCCCCGAGCTACACGTGCTTGAGGTGAGGAGATCCGCAAACTTCCTCCTCCAGACGAGCGAGCAGCGGGCACAGAACTCCGAGAAACTCGGGGAGCATAGCTTGTGCTTACTGTGCGATAAGACACTATACTGTGCTATGCTATACTATACTGTAGTACAGTATAGTACAGTGTAGCATAGTATCGAAAAGTATAGTCTAGTAAAGTGTAGCATGTCTGAAACTGTCTTTTGCCGCAACTGCCTGGTCTCACGTTTTACGAAGTTGGGAGCATCCAGCAGCTTCCGATGGGTACAGCTCCTTTCTTCGAGACGCCAAACCCTACAAAACCCTTAAAAAAATCCTTCTAAACTCTGAAAGGAAGATTAATGGTAACATCTTATTAGCAATAGTAATATACGAACATACAGAAAAAAAACCCTACAAACCCTATCAGCCTTGCTGACCCTGTAAATCCCAATAAGACCCAGGAGCAGGCCCGCTAAGCGCCTAGGGCCCTGGAAACTCCATGCCCTGGACATACGGTTGATGATCAAAATCCTGCATTACCTTAAAGACCCTAAACTATGGGAATTATGGTATATTCCTTATTATGGGTAATGCAGGATTTTGATCCTCAACCGTACTGTACTATAATATACGAATACTATACAAATATTAACATGTAGTACTAATCTGAATACGAATACTCATTCGAATACTGATACTTCTACAACACTAATACGATACTAGTTTATGCTACACTGATACTAAGACTTCTATCATACATACTAGATTACACTCTATAATACCCTCTTATGCTACACTATACGGTACTATGCTGCACTATACTATACGCATGGTATCCGAAGCTCTGTCACATATACGATGTTATACTATATTATACCCGTTTATACTGTACGCATCGTATCCGAAGCCCTGGGCAGAGGCCATGTCTTCAACCTCCGGCAGATCTGGCCAAGCCCGAGGAGCAGACGAGCTGCAAATGGCCGAAAGGGTCCTAAGCAGCTACCATGGGTTCCTTTAAGGGTTTAGGGTCAGAGGGTTCCTTTAAGGGTTTAGGGTTATGGTTCATTTATAGGGATCTGTAGGGAGTTAGGGGCAAAGGGTTCCCTTAAGGGTTTTGGGGTTATGGATTAAGCTGCTACTACCTGGACCCTAAAGGATAGGGATCTGTAGGGGTTTAGGGGCTTTAAGGGTTTTAGGGGTTTTTACAGGGGTTTAGGCCGAAAGGGTCCTAAGTAGCTACTACGCTTGATGGTCAAAATCCTGCATTACCCATAATTCGGAAGGAATATACCATAATTTCCATAGTTTAGGGTCCTTAAGGTTATGCAGGATTTATATCATCAACAGTATGGGTTCCTTTAAGGGTTTAGGGTTATGGAGTTTTTTAAAGAGGTTTAGGGTTCTAGGGTTCCTTGAAGGGCTCCAAAGTACTTATATCGTGGAAAGTCGGGTTTCTACGGAAGGAATCCCCTAAACCCCAAACCCCAAAAAAAACGGTTTAGGGTTTAGGGTTTCGGGTTAGTGGTTTGTGTAAGTACCCCCCCACATAAGGTACTCAGGACCCTTTGGGTTGGGAATGTTCTCTGAGGTCTTGGTGGAATACGGTTGAGAGCTCAGGGCTTCTATGAATAGAAATTATAGGTGGCCTTAGGGTTTCTATGGATAGTAGATTATAATGTAGGTATATAGGGACTGGAAGAGTGCAGTGGTGAAGGGCTTCCGCCTGGTGGAATATTGTTAAGCACAGCTCGAGCACGCCAGCAAGGCAAGCTTGCCTTTACACAAGATTATGAGTCCTGGATGCTGCCCGGAAGAAAACACTGCGTGAAGGGCGCAAGGCAGCGTCAAAGGACATGGGTCTTCGCGAAAGAAGCAAAAGCACCTGCTCCCTACACTCCAAAAACCCCAAACCCCAAATACTTGATCCCTAAACCCGAACCCCCCCAACCTACATAATATAATATAACAGAATAGAATATAATAGAATAGAATATAATATGATAGAATATAATATAATATAGTAGAATGTGATGCAACAGTATGTACATGGTCTACGCTTGACCTTCGCAGGACTTCCAAGTACGAGCCGGGTCCTCGGTGGGCGCTGCCATTTCTCCCTTCAATACAAGGAGCACCTACGGTTTAGGGGCTTAGGGGTTTAGGATTTAGGGTTTAGGGTTTAGGGGTTTGGGGTTTAGGGTGTAGGGATTTAGGGTTTAGGGGTTTACGGGTTTAGGGCTAGGGGCTCTTCAATGCGAGAGTCCTTTTAAGAGGTCCATAGCATCAAAAGTTCTACAAGGCTGCCATGAGGAGCTTTATGCCCTAAACCCCTAAAACCCTAAACCCTAAAACCCTCCTCCCAGGCATTTATGAGGGCTTTAAAGCGAATCAACGCCTTTGGCTGCTTAGTTGCTGCATCCCCCCGAGCCCGGAATCTTCTAGAAACACGCTTCCCTTGACTTAGTTGCTGAGTTGATAGGCCAAAAGAAAAAGTGTAGACTTTCAGTTTTATAAGGGATCATATTATCCCAAAAACTTTAGAGTGTAGCTCATCCATCTACTAAATACCCTACTGCTAAGTAAACCCTAAACCCGTAAACCCCATAGTACCCTTCCTAAGCCCTAAACACTAAACCCTAAACCCTAAACCCACCCCTGACAGAACCTCACAGACTGCGACGGCCAGCTTCGCTCTCTACTCAGGTCGTCCGGCTTCTTGCTGAGCTCTCTGAGGAGGGACCTGGTAGGGGTTTCGGTGGATCTGGGTTTGGGGTTTAAGGGTTCAGAATTCCAGGATTTAGGGCCTAGTTAATTGGGGTTTAGGGTTTAGGGTTTGGGCGGGGGGGGTTCTGGGGTTCTGGGGTTTAAGTGTTCAGAATTCTGGGATTTGGCGCTTAGGTAAAAGCCAGTCTGTGCCGATGGTACACAATCCTTTTGCTGGAGGCCTCTTGAGAAGAGCATTCTGACGGATGAGAGTCGGGTGTTGAGATGCCGTTGTAGCACGCCCCTCCAGACTTTTCGGGGAGTCGGTGAGCTTGTGGTTTTGGATTGAATTCGGGTCCGGTGGGTTCAGGGACTGCTTTCGCATTTGGTCTGCAGGGTTCTTGAGTAAGGGTTGGGGCTCTACTTGGAGGACGAAGGCGAGCCGTCATAATATGTGCGCTACCGTTCACCCAGGGGGCTTAGCAAGCAGTGTTCAAACTAAGAGAAGTGCACTTTTGAGTGGCCATGAACCTTCATGCCAGCCCAAAGCCCGAGAAGCTTAAAACCCCTCTATCAATGAAGCCCCTTACCAAGCCCTTTGAAACCCTCAACCCCTGAACCCTAAATTAAGCCACTGTAAGCCGCAAGTCCTAAATCCGAAACCCTAAATCCCTCCAAATTGCCAGATCCCTAAACCCTACGTAAACCTTAGCTAACCCCATAGAAACCACTCCGAAGCCCGAAGAGCGACCGGCCAACCCCCCGCTGTGCTCTCTCTTGCTTCAAGGAGAGTGAGGAGGGAATAATTTTATAGAGATATATAGATTAGGGTTTAAGCTTTAGGTTTCAGGGTTTAGGGCGTAGGGCTACTAGAATGCATCATATCGGGGCTTGTTAAAGAGCTGCTATTTCTTGAGCCCTTCTCATGGAACCCTCATAGTTATGGAACCCGCAATCTGGAACCCTGAGTAGAGGGATCCACCCTCCTACGCCCCTCCCCCCCTCGAAAGCACCTCTTCGGGTCCTTTCCATACGCGATTGCTACGGTTGATGATATAAATCCTGCATTACCCATAATAAGGACTATACCATAATTCCAATAAGTCAGGGTCCTTTTGGTAATGCAGGATTTATATCATCAACAGTATGTCGAGATTAAACAGGCGCTAGCGAGTATGGAAGTACTATATCGCAGTATGTAGGGGCTGCTATGGAACCGTAAAGCCAATATCCATACTCTAGAACCCGGGTAATCTGGGTTAACGAACTTAATCTAAGTTACCATAATGAGAAAAACCATATGATTTACTATAGATCCCTATCTTGGTCACTTAAAAATTAAGCCCTTTAACAAGAACCCAGACCCCAAAGCCCTAAACCCTATAAACCCTAAACCCTATAACCCTCATGGAACCCTGCATAGGCCTTGAAAGCGGGAAGTCCACTGCTGGAGATTGGAAGCGCCACTTGGCCCCAAAGACTCGAGGATCACTCGGGGGAAACTCAAAGGGCTTCAACTGGGGTTCTTGTTAAGGAGCTGGGAGTTTCCGGAAACTAGGGGCACCTTATTCTAGGGTCCTTATTCTAAGGATCCTACTATTTAGGGTACTATATTAGGGTCCTGTATTTTCAGAAACCCAAACCTTGATTTAAGTTACCATAACAAGAAGCCATCTTATTTACTATAGGTCCCTATTGTGGGCACTTAAATAAGTTAAATCCCTCAGCAAGAACCCAGTCGATACTTCGACGAAAATTTGAGCCTGAAGAATTTTAATTTAGTTGCCATTTTGACCCTATGCTATAATGTAGGTAAGGACGCAGGGATCTACATTCAAAATTATTCGGGTTAAGAGTGCAAGGTATCGGGTTCAGGGGGGGGGGTTACGGTTTCGTGGTTTAGGTTTTTGGCATTTCTGGAATCTTCAAACCCGGGCAAGACGTCCCTGCAGAAAGTTTGATTGGATAGCTAGTGTATGAGACCTGCAACCTTGAACCCTACGCATCGAAAAACGGGCTAGAAGTCCGTTTGCTAGGAGATTCACACAAGAAAAATCAAGTATTGAAGCTTGGCCAATTATTCATGGCCCTCGTAAGGACTCCTAAACCCTAAACCCAAAACAGAGCTTAGAGGTTATCGTGCCGCATATTAGACTGTAGACCCAAAGCCCGGCAAACCTCATGCTCTCCTGTTTGCATCTGGGTAGTTCTCCAAACTAGGGTCCCTTCTTAAGTCACCAAAATAGTACGGCACCCTTAAAAGGGAGCCCAAAAGGAACCCTCATTTAGAAAACTACCCATCTCCTGATCTGCAACTTGTGCCGCGGATTCAGGCTTTGGGGTTACAACGAATGGTACAGGGTATCCAGCTCTTCCGCAACTACTTCAGAAGTCTTCCCGCAATCGTGCACAGGGTGGTGTAAGGACTCGACTGAAACCAGCTTTTGTTGAACAGTTCGGATGTGGCAGCCGGATCACCGACAAAGCCCTCGATTTAATGTATGTTTATATATTTGTGTATATTAATATACATATATAATGTATACATGTATGTACATAGTATGCAGTAAAGTATAGTAGTATAATATAGCACAGCATGGGAAAGTACATCGTGTCAAGTCATATTGTATTATGTGTTGTTTGATTTTGTTGTGCTATATTAGGTTATATCGCATTGTATTGTGCTTTGCATTATGTATGTGTCATGTAACATGTTGTTTGGTTTCGTTAAATTCTACTAGAGTTTATTGTAATGTGTTGTGCTACTTGATGTTGTATTCTGCTTATTATGGTATGTCAATCTATACTATACGCTATTCTGCTCTGTTCCAATATACGCTAATCTTTTTCATTCTGTTCTGTTCTAGTCCATTCTGCTCTACTCTAGATGGCTTTTGTTTTTTGCAGCATAACGCATTCTACAATTTAATGTGGTATGGTATATATATATATATACACACATACATACATACATACATACATACATACATACATACATACATGTACATATATATACACACATATATACATACATATATATATATTTTCTTGTTGTACTATGTTACATCTTGTTTTGATGCATTGTCCTTTTGTTTTTTCCCTATGCAAAAAGCGCCCCATGAACCCCCGAAGCTTCCTCATGAGGGAGTCGACGTGATGAAGTGAATAAGGGAAGCCTCTCTGCATCCCACGAAACCCGTAAACCCTAAACCCTAATCTAAGCTGGTACAATGAAGCTTTCATCGAGAGGTTGTCACCTTGCTGGAGTACTGCAGCTGTGCCTGGCGGAAGGCGGGAACCAAAGCCCTTTTTAGCCCTTGGAAGAACGGGTTTAGGTTTCGGGTTAAGGTTTAGGGGTTTAGGGTTTAGGGAAACTGTCTCGCAGCGACTTCAGAAAAGCAGGGAATGGGCCGTGCTTAGGGTTTAGGATCCGACAAAGTAACACGAAGCTCTTGACTGTCGGCTTCATGGGGGGTTTAGGGTTTAGGGTCATGAAACACCTCTTTCAAAGACAGCCTTTCTTTAGCGCTCCACGAGAAATATCGGCGCCTGTATCATTGCCAGTACTGTTCCTCACCGTTCCTGAATCTCAACTGACAGGCATTAACGGCTCAAGACTAGAAGCCTAAACCCTAAAGCATAAAATAACCCATTAACGGCTCAAGACTAGAGCTGCCTAACCCCTAAAACCTAAAATAGCCATGAACGGCTCAAGACTAGAAGCCCAAGCCCTTAAACCTACAACAGCCATTAACGGCTCAAGGCTAGAACCCTAAGCTTATAAACCCTAAACCCTAAACCCCAAAAAGAAAGACCTAAACCCTAAAGCTGCAGGGTTGAAGCCTCGGGTCTTTCGAAGTCGATTCAGGTTCTCGGGTTTACGAAACCCATTCCCCCGGGCCCAACATCCCCGAAGCCCCTTTTTCAGAAGTCTATGAAGACCCATTTTGTCGACTCTTAAGGCCAAAAACCCTTCCTTCTTCGGTGTTTAGGGTTGTTATTCTTCGGATTTTGCGGGATTAGGGCTTCAGGGGTATTGTGTCACATGCCCCCCAGAACTTGTTTGTACAGTTAGGGTCCCCCCTAAAAGGGTCCCCCCTTAAAAGGCCCAACCCTGCCAAACCTTTCCATCTAGGACATTTTCAGGTGGGCAGTTACCCTTATAGGAGCCTTATAGAAGGTCTATATACCCTGTAGAAGCCATATAGAAGCCCTATATACCCTAAACTCCCCACTTAAACCCCTAAACCCCTAACCCTAAACCCTAAACCCCTAAACCCTAAAGCCCCTAAACCCCAAATCCTACAAAAACCCTAAACTCCCCACCTGTAGTTCCCCTTAATTTCCAGGCACTGAAGCAGGCTCCAGGCAGCCCCAGCGCGGAGAAGTGCTGGGTGCCCCTGCAGGCCAGACTCAGTCTTGCTTTAGGGGTTTTGGGGTTTAGGGTTTAGGGGTTTAGGGTTGTAGGGTTTAGGGTTTCGGGAGGACTCCTTGGGGGGTTTGCTAGGTTTAAGTCCGCTGTCCGGGTTCTTGTGAGTTTGTTTGGGTACAGGGAGCTTGTAGGATTTCGAAAGCCATTAGTCTGCGTCAGCGTTTATGCAGATTGGGCAAGCAGCTTAGGTGTTGTCCGTGCTCTGGGGCTTAACGACGATTGGCCCGAACATACGAAGAACATGTGCATCCTTAACACGTCCCAGCATCAAGGGCCACAAGTATGTAGAATCAGTGCCTTTCTTGGGGTGATATTGTGTAAATACGTAGATAGATACCTAGATACATAGATAGATAGATAGATAGATATTACCGTACTGCTTTCCTCCTACGGACTACGTGACACTCCATATAGCAACTCCTGAGCCCTACACCTCTAAACACCCCGAACCCTTAGAACCTAGAAGCCCTACATGCCCAAACCCAGGGTAGTTCTCTTGGTTAGGATTCCTTTTTGAGTCCCAAATATAGTGCGGCACTCTTATACAAAGGACCCTAAAAGGACCCTAATTTAGAGAACTACCCCTTTAGAAACCCTACAGAAACCCTTATAGATCCCTTTAAGGAAGCCAAATTCAGAGAACTACCCTTATAGTACCCCTTTAGAAACCCTACAGAAACCCTTATAGATCACTTTCAGGAAGCCAAATTTAGAGAACTACCCTTAAAGCACCCTTTATGAAACCCTATAGAAGCCCTTGTAGATCCCTTTAAGGAAGCCAAATTTAGAGAACTACCCTTAAAGCACCTTTTATGAAACCCTATAGAAACCCTTGTAGATCCCTTTAAGGAAGCCAAATTTAGAGAACTACCCTTATAGCACCCATTTAGAAACCCTGTAGAAACCCTTATAGATCCCTTTAAGGAAGCCAAAAACCTTGAAAGACCCCTTTAAGGAAGCCAAATTTAGAGAACTACCCTTTATAATCGCCTCTAAAGGCTGTCTGTTCTCTAAGCAGGTGCTGAGCCGAAAGCCTTTTCAGATGCCTATCGCCGGTGGGAGCCCAAGCGAAAGGAGCTTTCACACTGGGTCCCAATGCTATAGTTCGGGTTTAGGGCTTTAGGGCTTTAGGGTTCCATTTTTGGGTCTAGGGTCACATACTAAAGATACGCTTAGTCTGTATGACATGGCTCTATATGGTTAGGTATCGAAGTTAGGCAGCTCTTGAAAATAAGTTTCAGTTCGAGCAGTTTTGATTCGCCTTACGAACGCATCAAGCTTGCAATTTAGGGCTTGAAGATTTAAACCCTAAAACCTAAACCCTAATCCAAGAAGAGCCCGGAAATAGGTCCTTTAGGGCTTTCACGCCATGCACCATGGCCCCTAGACTCTATCAAAACTACACAGCGGTGCTTTTTAAACTGTCTGTAGGGGGACCCAGCACTTGGGTTCAATTTCAGTAGGGTTTCGGTTTCAGGGGATTTTGGGTTTAGGATTTAGGGTTTAGGGTTTAGGGTTCAGGGGATATAGGGTTTAGGATCTAGGGTTTAGGGTTTAGGGTTCAGGGGATATAGGGTTTAGGATCTAGGGTTTAGGGTAGGGTTTAGGCAGGAGTTTCTTGCTTAGGCTTAGGCTCACGAAGGTCCTTTGTACGGCGGCATCGGGGTCTTGGGTGCTGGGTTCGGGGTTCTAGGGACGTTCCGCGGTCTTTGTTCGAAACCTAAACCTTAAACCTTAAATCATCAGACTAAGAAGACGTCGAAAGCCCTAAAAAAACCTGAACACCAAACCTCAAGCAATAGTGAAGTCAAGAAGCCCGGTGCTCTCCGAAAGGACGGGAAGACCTGCGAACGACAAAGGCATACTACCCAACTAAGTGGTGCTGATCTCCCGCAGTATCCAGTACAGTGACAACGCAGCCTAAAACATGTGAACCCTGTAAGCCCTACAACCAAAAGAACTCGTATAAACCTCATATTTTTGCAGCCTCCCGACCCCAAGACGCACAACCCCACAACCCACAAAAGCCTCTTATCAACCCTATGACACTCCCATGAATACTGAGCAGGACTTCTTCATCAACTCTCACGGCATCTAAAAACCTCAGCCCCCTCAACAGCTCTTGTAAATCCCCAAGACCCCACAAAAACAGAAAAACATATCATATACCCTACGAGCCCTTAGTATACGGCATATTTTCAACCCCATGCCACTTATGCCCTGTAAGACCTATGTTCTCAACCTTTCGCAAGTTTCAATCTCACCGAACACGAGGTCTCTTGAAGCTTTACGCTGCGGTGCTCAGCAACTTGCCGACCTGGGCGGCGGACCTCCGACGCAGGCTGGCTAGGCACTTCAAACTAGTGTTGATGATAGAAATCCTTAGCATTACCTTAAGGACCCTAAACTATGGCAATTATGGTATATTCCCCAGTATGGGTAATGCAGGATTTTGATCAGCAACCGTAGGGGCAGAATAGTAGCTAGAATGGGGTTCATATTTAGGTTTTATCATACAGGTGAGCGGCTTGTTCTTTACGGGTTACCATAAGTGCTTGGTACAGGGGTCGGAAAAAAAAAAAAAAACCTATACTAGGAATGCTAGTACAAAAAGCCTGAGGTCCAGAGAGGATTTTGTCGAGGGGTGTTGAGGGGCGTGGATAAGCGCGAGTACTGTTCATTAGTGCTCTTGATCATGATTCTCGCAGAGACTGTAAGGCCCTGGTATTTTTAAGGGAGACCCCTCAAAGGGGACCCTTCTGAACCCTACTTGTGGCTCTCTTAAAAGGGACCTTATTGAGAGGGTCTATATCCCCAATATTTCCTCCTAATCCGAAGTCCCAATGGTAAGGGATTCTCACAAGAAGGATCCTACGGATCCTCCTCCCGACCTGGACCTCTCTTTTAGGCTTCTTCTAGTTTCTGAGCCGAAAGTTATGAGCTAAACCTTATGGGGCCAGCACCCCAGAAAACCCAACACCCCTTGATTATGGAATATGCCTTAAGTTACAGGGCCCTTAATATCATGATTTATGGTATATTCCTCAATTCAGGGGTAGTGGGTTCTCTGGGACCTTCCATGAGGCTGCAGGCAGATAACCCCATCCCGGCCGTGAAAGATTCGGAGCTCTGCCTTCACATCGCAGAGGCCGGAAAAGGGAAAGATTTGGCTGGACCGCTAGGGTTTAGGGTATAGGGTTTTAGGGTTTAGGGTTTAGGTTAAATTCTAAACCCTAAACCCTACCGGTTAGGGTTTCGGGTTTAGGGTAACGTCTGGGCTTGGGCGGCTTGGGCTTTAGGGTGCCTTGGCAAGTTTGGTCCTTCCGTGCCGTTGCCGGACCTGGTGTATTACCAATACTATTTTGGAGGGTTCCTTCTTATAGTTATAGTAAAATATACCCCCCCCCAAAAAAAAATAACTATTCTGATTATTCAGGCCCCCTAATATGTGTGTAGGACCTTTATGTACAGTGTGTGGATTGTGTTTGGGGCCTTTACCAGTTACTCGG